TCGTTTTGGAAATTTTTACTGTATAATTTAAGCAGTAGAAGTGGGTGAGATTATCGAACAGATAATCGATATTTGCTAGAAAGAGGATTTGTCGGATCATCTAAAATATTTAACGCATTGCTCTAACACGCGATGAATAGTTACAAATTTTGTAGTGGGTAGATTCTTAACGAGGCATATTTGAGGCAAAGAAGGCCACGTCATTATAACTCTTCCGTTCTACAGAAATAGCTTCGTTATTTAATTCTTTTTGTGTTTTGTACTCAACTCAACGTCCTAATCAAACTAAAAGCTAAACAAACACAATATACCACTCGTACACTTCCTTTGATGAAATTTTTAAATGTCACGAGTTAGATCGATTAAACATTAATTGCAAGAATAAAATAGAAAATAGAAGAAAGGAGCTTTGTTTAAATCATAAACACTTATAATAACTTCTGAAATAAATGCGAGAAATGTTTTCTAGTTTGGGATTTCAAACCTTCCAATATAAGGATATGGATCCACAATCGAGATATCGGGAAATTGCAACAGGTTCTATGGGAAGGCCATGGGAACAAGTTACGCATGGAGACCAGCAACAATCCACGTGTAAAAAAGTTTTTAGAAGCTGTGCCCTTCATCATGGTTCGTATTGAAATTCAAGAATTACATTTGACAAAAATATCAACGTTACATTAAAATGTTTCCTTGTATCTCCTCCAAAGAATTTATTATGTTTTTCGAATTTATATAAAACCTTTTATTATAGGGCACCGTAAAAGACGTTCACACAACTGTAGTGAACAATGATTTAGATGGACTTAAAAACAAAATTGAAGCCACGTCACCCATCGTTCTTTGTGGCAAAGATTCGAATGGTTTAAATGTCTTGCATAAGGTAAAAATTGCCTGATTTCATTTCTCATGTTCATTTTTTCATATTGGAACGTTTGGTAATCAATAGGCTGCAGGATCGGGATATACTGAGATCGCACGAGAAATTCTTACGAGATATCCGTCCGTTGTAGAAGCTCAAGATAACGATGGAAAAACGCCGTTGCATTACGCAGCCGCGGCGAAGGACAATGGGGTTTTGTATGATTTGTTAACGGAATACGGAGCTGATGAAAGTAAACTAGATAATGTGCGTGAATATACTGCATATCAAATCTAATTTATATTAATTAAATAGAGCAAAAGGGTTGTTAAGAATTAGAAGGATTTACTGCATAGTATATTTTTAACAATATTAATATAAAATATATTTATTCGTGAAAGTATAAACTATATAAAAATATATTTATTCGGGAAATTATTAAATCAGAGGCAAAAGGCTCCAGCTTTCTACAAAAACAGACCATCAGACATAGACCAATCGCTTTTATCTGTGATACCGGAGGCACCGCGAGTTGCTAGCACGTCGTATCCTAAGCATTGGGACTGGAGGATTTTAGAAGCGTTGGAATCTATATCGAGGGGGATGAAAAAAGTTAACAGCGCGGATATTGATAGTGCGTTCGGTAGCGCTGAGACGGCGAAAAAGAATCTCAGTAAATCTATGGAACAGGTCTAGTATATAAAAACTAAATTTTTATATTACAACATTGTTTTACAAGACGATATAAAATTAAGTTTTAATTTTCTTTACTCAAAACTATCATTGTGATATTTATTATTTACGAAGATTATATTAAAGTAATTGCAATTTTTGACAAATTTACATGATCGGATTGAGTAATGAAAGAAATAATTTTTTAATAAAAGAATTCTATTTAAAAAAAATAGATAAGAACAGCTGAAGAAAGTCACGAAGAATCAGAAAATCAAACGAAGCCAGAAAACTCGGAAAATCCTGTGGAAACTGAGAATCCACCAGAAGAACATGCAGAAGAGGCTGATAGCGCTCAGAATGCAGAGAATCCACCGGAAGAAGAACATGCAGAAAATGCAGAAGAGGTTGATAGCGCTGAAAACGCAGAAAATACTGAGAAAACAGAAGAGATGAGTAATGGAGAAAATGTAGAAAGCACAGAGAAACCAGAAGATATGAAAGAGTCCGAAGATGCAGAGAATAGCGAGGAACCACGTGAAGGGGCAAAAGTTGAAGATATAGAAGATAAGTCCTCGGACGACGACGTAGTAACAGGTACAGCGACGCATAAAACGATAGAAAGTCCAAATTCTGAGGACAAACCAGAAGAGCCAGAAAACGAAAATCAAGCCGGCAATGCAGAAGAAGCACAAAACGGGGAACAAGGAACTGAGGAAGTTAATGAACAGGAACAAGAAGGCAAGGTGGAGAAGGAAGATAGAAACGAGCCCAGCACGGGTGATTCTGGTGTTGATGATCCAGGAAACGACGAAGACCAGGTACGGTCATCATAACTTTTAGGTGAATTGAATCTTACAGGAATTTCCTGGCACAAATAGAAACTACAAACAAATACTTGATGACAAAAATTATATTATTACCTGCTTATCGAGTAAGGCATAAAATAATATGTTTTTTATTAAATTATAAAAGATATGCAGAGCTAGTTGATTCCAGATTTTTTAATAGTCGCTCATATGTACTACCTAACTTATATTCGTGGTTGTAAGTGACAAGATGTAATTTAAAGTATATTTTGTGTATTGCAGAAATAAGAGAAACGATCGATATGGTGATATTATACACGTTCTTTGTCACGCACAAATATATAACAATAAATAAATGAATAAGCAAAGAACTGTTATGTAACTTCTGCACACTACAGACCCGAACAAATACGTGAAATACATTTTCGTCTTTCTTTTTTATTTCGTTTAAATATTCAATTGCACGAAGTATTTTTAAGTTCACTTTAATATACGTTTAATTTAACATTCTATTCAGTAGTCAATCGTATGTTATGTTACAAAGGAAACTTAGAATCACTTAATTTTTTAAATAATCATACTACTGATACACTATTTGAAATATTAAGTATTAAAAAATGTATATCTCAGTCTTTTTAATATTTAAAAAAATTATTTCCGTTGTACTATTATCATGTAATTGTAAACTGAAGTGGCACCAAAGACACCTGTGAACAATTAGAGAAATAATTTATTCGATCGCGCGTCACGTGATCAAAGGAGTTTACAGATACAGAGAAAGACAACCATCGATTTTTCACGTTGTGTAGATTGCTACGTGCGATTAATATTTTTCCCGTATCGATCGGCATGTGATGTGTATATGTAGGTGCGCATGGTTTTGCACCTAGGACATGATTAGCAGGTAATCGTTGGGGAACACGAGGAGCTTCCGGAATCAGATCTGAAGGAGGGCACCATGACGGCGGATCCGGAAATCGAGAAGCTGCTGGAGAACGGCAACATGGAACAACTGGCCTCTTTGGTGCTAAACGGCCAAGGAAGAAGACTGGTCGGCCGACATTCAGGAAATCCTGAGCTTCAGGCTTTCATCGATCGCGTTCCATCTTACATGGTACTACGCAAAAAGTTCTTTCTCCTTATATCCTTTCTATTATAAGTGCCGCATTTCATTAGGCAGTATCTTTTTACAATATTTCTGTGAAAAAATGTTTTTTTTTAATTATTTTAGGGAAAAATTCATGCTGTGCACATGGCAGCTCAGGAAGGGAATCTGAGAGATTTGCAAAGTGCTCTAGACAGGCGCAAATTTGCAGTCGCGAGAGATGGATCATCGCCAAATGGTGCAACGCCTCTTCACGTTGCGGTTGTCTTTGGAAATACCACCATTATTAGGTACATTACTACATTGTATATCATTTTTTTATATATATATATTAAACTTTCCCCTATTTTTATAATTATTTCTTATACATTGTTTCCTCTGTATATTCATAAGTCATTATTTTTTATTAAATAAAGTAATAATCCTCTGTCATTTTTAAATTACAATAACTTGAAGACGTATACAAAATGAGTACTTTATCGATTCCTATTCTTAGCTGATCTATCGTATATATGTATTTTTCAGATATTTAGCAGGTAGATTTCCGGAAACTGCACACGCAATAGATGTTAATGGTAGGACACCTTTGCACTATGCGGCCACCCTTGCAGACAATGGCCATTACTATAATCTTTTGCTACATTTGGGTGCGAATCCCTTAGTCCAGGACAATGTGAGTACAAATGTTAACCGAATTACAGAGAAAACTTAAGTGAATTCCGAAAATATATTTCTTACCCCATTAACTATTAACCATACAGTTTGGACAAAAGGCGGAGTATTATAAACAGAATCAGACTGAATTATCTCATAAATCGCTCCTGCGCGATTTCGGGGCTAATGAGAAACTCGCTGACGAGATGTTGACTGATAAAGGTATTTCATTTCGAACGAGGCACTGTACGAGCACCATAGTTCAAATTGTACTATCTCCTTATTGATCGTTCAGAGCACTATCGATTACTTCACTTTACGTTTTCCCACTTTCCATATAAAATTCCAATGTAAACAACATTCCCAAAAATTGAGTTTACTTATATAGTTAGCAACCGTCACGTTGCTTATTCTCACGCGTTAGTCTACTATTTAGTTGTCTACGAACATCATTAAAACCCAAACAATTATTCGAAAACAAGATTGAAACATCTTATGTTGTTTAAATATATATCAAGAAATTAATTAGCGATGGGAATTCTTCTTATTATAAAATCTTCTAATCGAATTAGATATTCGCTTTGTGATTTGATTTAGGCCTAAAGTCTACCCATAATACTTATTACTTTTTTGTTTGCTTTACGGTATCTTTTAAATCTCCAAAAGATGAACAGGATGGTCGAGGAAAGGACTTAACAGCTATCGTAAAATAGCGGGGTTGCTGTCCTTCGCACCTTTAACAGAAGAGGTCATAATGACAGGCTGTAAACGTATAGTAACGTACCCATAAATTTTTCAGCTTTCCCGTGATATTGGAAGCCCCAAGTGCCAAAACTTTTATTCTACACAATATTAACAGTAAATTTGACTTAATTTATGGATAATTAGTATGTATGAACAATTCTTAATGTTCCAATTTTTATTCGAGTATTTTGTAGAATGAACGTTTTGGCTCTTGGGGCTCCAAGTATAACTGGATCGCTAGAAAATACATTGGTACGTTACTGGTTTTACAGCGTATCCTTATTTCCTCTTTTCTTAAAGGTGTGAGGGATAGCTGTTTTATGATAGTTGTAATACCTTTCCCTCTACTACACTACAGACGACATTAAGTCTATACTATACAGATATTAAGTTATTATTAACAATAGCGTCTTTTTATGAACTTTTATATGCTTGTTCAATACAACAGGCATTGAGCTTCAAAGAATTAAATAGTAAAGATTTTGGCAAAAATATAGTGACAACATTAACAATGAGTGCAAAGCAAATATCTACTCTAGAGGAGACTCTACATAGAATATAAAAGAGGCACTCGCGAATTCGCAATCAAATTAATAAAATAAATAATTATTCCCATTGCTAATAACGAACCTGATAAATATCCTCATTATTTATTGTCCGCTGGTGTGCACGTCGGCAAAAACAGTTCCTGGAGGAGACAAGTATTCCGCGCGCCGAGACATAACCGAACCAGAGACCCTAGCCACCTTGGAGAGGTGTTTCCGTCTTCTGATCGGCGTAAAGCACGGTACGACACCAAAATCACCCGGAAACTCCGGTACTCTGATCAGTCGTTGCCTGAAACGGCCCATATTCGATCGTATCAAGCACCGTGTGACACGCATGGACCACAATCTCTTTGATGTGATATGGCCCGCTTTAAAGAAATACGGTACTTTGAACGGTACCAGCAAAGCGAGCAGCGCTTATTCGGTGATTAGCAATACAAACGATGAAGATGAATCCTTGTGGGTAGTCGCACCAGACTACGAAAGCTACATCGTGTTCGCCGAGTTCTTCGACCCCCTGATCAGAGACATCCACTGTGTCACTGCCAGTGGTGATCTCCCCGATCATCCGTTGCCGAGGTTTTTTTACACAGAGGACGAGGACGGCGAGGAAAATCCTGACTCGGTGGACGAAGTTACCGTGTCAGCGATCGAGGCATACGATCTCGATCCGCCGGCTAAATTCGTTCAAGCTGCTGTGATGGAGTGTTGCAGAAATCTTGAGAATTACACATTTCCGTTGACTTTGACGGTGAATCAGCTGGAGGAGGTGGAACGCGAAATCACTACTGAACTGATGAGTCAAGAGATTTCGGGTATGATGGCGGAGGGTAGTAGCGAGGACGAGCCCGGGACGTACTTCACCTTGAACGAGATTCTAGATCAACCAAGTCCGATCAGGGCCCAGTTAGCGGCGTCTGGTCTACTGTTGCCGATCACGGATTACGAAGTGCACGACGATAAACGTCTCCACGGGAGACATTGGCCCTACGGCCGAGGAGTTTACGTCGCGTCTGCTGGAGATTTGGCTGCTTGGGTGAACGTGCAGGATCATTTGAGAGTTATCTGCCGGACCAACGAGAATAGACCGGGCCTGATCGGCCGTGCCTACGTGAGATTGGCCAAAGTGATGGTCGTACTTGACGAGAAATTGAAGTTCACGAGGGATAAGAAACTGGGCTTTCTCAGTGCGCGGCCCTACGCCATCGGGAATACCCTTAGGTTTAACGTGATAATCAAGTTCCCGGAATTGTCGAAGGAGTACGATCATTTGAAGCATTTGTGTGTCGTTCGTGGACTGAGCATACGCGAAACACCGAGACGAGACACGGTCAGAATCGGCAATCAACAATCATTGAGCGTTACCGAGCTACAAACTCTCCAGGATTTCTCCAGAGCCGTTCTGAACATCCTTGCGTTGGAGAAGGAGTTAACGATAAATAACTCGATGAAAATTGCCAGTCTGCTCGCGGGTATATTTCGCAAACGAAACAGCGCTAAACGTTTTCAAAATTAATCATGCAGCAGACGCCGAAGCGATAAAATCATTTAGTCTTAATCTTATTTTTTAAATGACAGAACAATACGCTTTTATACGAAAATCTTCTGTGATACTTTATGAGCCAATACGACTTGTCAATTATTTCTCATAAACTGAAGACTGTAACATATACCGAAAAAAAGGAGGGACGTTGGAAAGATATGTGTGAACGTTATTTCTCGTGCATCGTTATGTAATATGAAATGATTAGCTACTTGGATACCGGATTGTTCATTAGGTTAGTAAAATGAACATTATTGGTATACGAGCAATGGTTACCGCGCTTTGACATGTTGTCGCACGACACCATGCTTACGTGCTTGTGAAATGAGCAATATGTGCATATATACATCCATCGTACGTGTAAAACGAGAAATTATAATAATTGAACGAGAACAGAGAAGAAGAGGAACTTAAGCTTTTTTATGTGTCACGCACGAGTTCGATGTTCACACAAAACAGAGATGACGTAGCACATGTCTTTCCAACTTGGTGTATTTTATATAACATTAAATTATATATTTCCATAAATAGCCATTGTATGTGAATTATTTGTATAAAGATATATCACACCTACCACCTCTAAGAGCATATACTACTGGGGGTAGCTTTTCAAGCGATGAAGGCGTAGAAATATATTATCTCTCCTTCGTAGCGGAGTACTGGCTACAACACTCCCCTTATTTGTCAGTAAATGATATGATTTAGAGCAATTTGAAGGAGAAAGGATGTGGCTAATCTCGAGCTGCGGAAGAAACAGTAGATAAACTGTATCTCTCTCTTTTTAGAAGTTTGCCTGCATATTGTAGTTACCTCCAGTACTATATGCTCTAAGTACCACCTTAAGCTGTTTAATTTTCATTTTATATATTCTCGCCTTTATGTATAATGTGCTTCCCGCAGCCCGCAGTATTTCCGCGCACTATTTGTAATTTATGTGTGCGACACGATTGTCAAATATTATACATAATATTCACGATGCACCTTCTTTGTAAAAGATTTGCTTCCGTCTTCTTTTTAAGCCACAGAAATTGTTATCTATATATCATATTTTATTATCGATATAATTGAATGAAAAGTTTTATTGAATGGATTTCATAAAATAATTGCAACTGAAACGAGCGCAACGCGATATTGTATTTCTATCTGAAGACAAAATAAAAACAATTTGTTTTTAGATGACCAGCAGGTTGATATACCAATTTTCCGAGAAGAAGAGGGTCGCTATTTAGCATCGTGTAAGTATTAAATAAAGTGTAATTATAGATTACGTATCGAAATCTTTAAGGACTCATGAACAGAAATTTCAACAGCTCTCGGTGACCCGTTGATCAAAGGTTTAACAGAAGTTGCTAACAATCGTCCGAAGGATCCGGTCACATATTTGGCTACATACTTGTACAATTTTGCTAACAAAACTAAAAACAATACACATGACCAAGTAAGCATTACAATTTTCAGTATACTCAGTATAATCCGAATAGGAAAATAATTTGACGATTTGATAGGAACCTAACGTGTTAATTATTCCTGACCGACCCGAAGGAAGCTTGGAAAATATCGAGAATGAAATTGCAGACGAGGACGCCGGCTATCCACAAAGTCCAGGCTCCGATATACCAGAATCAGCGTTCAGTAATCCTAACAGGGTATGACAAAATCATCGATTGTTGTGTTCAATTAAGAAAAGATTAATTGATGAAATACGTTTATTCACTTAGGATGAACATGGACAAAGCGTAATTCATTTCGCCGCTATTCGATCTTACGCGAAAGACGGTTTGTTTCATTTGCTTCAGGAAAGTCAAGTTAACGTTGGTTTCAGAGATCAGTTATATAGGACAGCTAGAGATGTGGCTGAATTGGCGAACATCCAAGAAAATATTGATGAAATTGATCGTTACGTGGCCTATTTAGCAGCACGAGGTGAGAACAATTTATTTATACCAAACTTCATATCTTCATTACGAAAAATTATAGACAGAATGTTAGATTTATAATAAATTTTGTATTTTATGTACAGGAGAAACTGAAAAATTAGTAGAACTGTTATTAGAAGGATACGACCACATTTTGGATGTTGCAGACGAAGGTGTGAATATTGTTGATATTGCTACAGAACGAGGACGTGAAGCAACTGTGCAATTTTTACAATCCATTCCAAATTATGTGGTAAAACATAAAATGTGCAACGTCTGTTCTAAGAAAAGTCTCGAGAAGTGAATATTTTTTTCAGACACAACGCGAAGAAGTGCATTATGAAATTAGAATGGGTAACGTGGAAAGAGTAAAAGAATTATTGAGTAAAACTAACGGAAGGGGGAAGCTATTAGCTATGGGAAAGAACTCGATGAGCAGATGCGCTCTTCATATCGCTGTACTTCGAGAAAATGAAGAATTGGTCGAATACATTGCGACAACATATCCAGAGACATTACGCATTGGTGACAATGTTAGAATTAATTTAATCAATCAATTATATCTAATCACATGAACAACAAAAAAAGAAAACGATGAATTTGCTCTTACAGTTGGAGAGAACTGCTTTACATTACGCAATGGGTTTACCGTCAGTCGAGGAATTAAGCAATATTCTTATTAAAGCGGGCGCAAAACGCATAGTCAAAGATTTGGTAAAAAACATTAAATAGTATCAAATAATTTCAAGTACGCTGGTACTTACGCTTGGAAATTTCAGAAATCAAGACAACCATCCTATTATTTTATGAACAAATCAGACATCGAGAGACTTCAGGAAGAGGAAACAAATCTGGTTAAATAAATCTATAAATAATAAGGATGCTACTTGATGTATCGTGCTATCGTTCACCTACATCTTTAAAAAACTTGAACATACAAAATGGTGCAGACATTTGTATTCGGGAAAAAGTAAAGTATACGTCCAATAAGAATTAAAGAAAGAATAATGTGCCACTTCGTACGTTTCTTTACGTACCTGACTTATCACTTTCGATATTTAACATTCTTCGTCTCATAGTATCGTAGCTACGTCCGTCTGATGTAACGAACAAATAGAATGCACTTTTCTGATCTCGTATAAAAATTACGATTATGTAATAAGTCTATATATGTATATCATATAACATATAATATTCATAATACAAATAAAGGATAGCAATAATTTTTTCCCGTATACATTCCTTCCGATCACCTTTGCGTTATAACGTTTATTCCCCTCTTCTTCTATCTACAAATATTCACGTGTTAAGGCAAGGACAGAATTACCTCCTATATTGTCCTAATATATCTAAATATTGATCGAAGAACGCTGTTCACGATTATCTCTGGACATATGTTAATATTCATTGATCGTAAAGGACGGACGTGAAAAAGTATATCACAGAATGTCTGCTAAGTAGTGAAATTATCACGATATTTACTACAGGTTCGTACACATAAAACCACTCTGATTGCACTGTCTTATAAAACAGTAGCATGAGTCTGCGATCCAAGGTGTAAATATATAATGATATTCTTTTTCGTAATTCTACCTTGCCTCTAGTCATAAAAAAGTAAACAGAAACCGTGATCGTTCTTCAAACTGCACAAATTCCTTTCAGATTCTATTTATTCGATGACCGATGTATCACTGATAAGGTGTTTCTCTTAGTGCTGATTCTCGGGTGACTTTGTGTTTCCCTGCAAACAACTGATGCATTATCCTGCTCTTCATCGTTTTCTGGGTCATCGACGATTCGTTGCCAGGGTGTAGGATTCACATACGCTGGTTTCGCTTTCTGGTGAGCTGATATTTTAATAAAAACGTACGATTATATAAATTTTTATTACTTTAGAACGGAGGTGGCGAGGTTGCGGCCCGCGGGCCACTTCCCCGATTCTCATGCTATGACTGCTATGTTGGGATAACACCTATTACAGTGTTTCAGTGCTAACAGGTAAGCCTACTCGCATAGCTGTGTCTCTTTCTTTCTCTAGCCTTCTTCTACAAAACAATAACTCAATTCTACGAGACTACGAAATTCAAAGGAGGCCCATACTTTAAATCCCTCGTCATATGTAATGCTTCGTTAGTAAGGAAAACAGCTGAGCCCAGAATAAGAGTTAAAAGCTACAGGTACAGAGGAGAAGAAGCTCGCCACCCCTGCTTTAGAATATTTTTCACATCTGAAAGCGAACTAACGCAAAAGTCCTTGCGTAGCAGGCCTCGGTTTGTTTTTCGCCATTTTTCGCCAATTTTCGTAAGCTTTCGAGCTTTCCGCGATTCTCTTTTTTTTCTCTTCTTCAATACGTTTCTTTTTCATCTCTTCGTTCTTTTGACGTACTGCAGAATGCAGTAATTTAGTTAAATAATATACTAAAATTATCAATACCGTCTTTACCTTTTTCTTGTTCCATCTTCTTACGTTCCCACTGTCGAAGGTACATAGTCTTTACTATAGCCGTTTTGTCTTCAATTTCTTTCAGCTGCCTTTGTAATTGAAGTTCTCTCTCAACCATGGCTTTCTTCTTCTCTTCCTCCTTCTTCTTTCTCTCCGACCACTTCAGAAAATTCTCTCGTTCCCGAGACTCCCTCTCTTCTTTTTCACGGGCCTGTCTTTCTATCTCTATTTGCTTTTGCCTTTCAATCAGATCTTCTTCTTCTTTTTTTCGTCGCGCGATTTCTTGCTTTCTGCGCATCCACTCGCTGTAACTGATTTTCTTCGCGGCGAAATCCGAATCGTTCGACCTATTATCCGAAATTCTAATACTCGACATCGACGAGGTAGAAACTTGTACGATCCGGTGTCCATTAAACATATATCTATACAGTGATAGATATTAAAAGATATTAATTGTCTATTGATCCTTAATCTGATTTCAATTTGTTATGAAAATACAGATTGATTAAAGGGTAATGCATTCGTTCGCCGAGCGTTAAGTATACGTTCTAATATTAAAAAGAGATTCGCAAAAACTAAGTCGACTGGTTTCCAAAATAACTCGATACATCGATATTGTGATTGTACAGAAACGGACAAATAAAAAATAAATAAATAATACCTCTGCACTTCCGAGTCGATTTGCCTAGGAGAACGAAGCTCGTCATTATCCTCCGCTGTGCCGGCTATTCTGCATCGTCTTTCTACACGATTCGTAGGTGTACACGAAGTCACAGACTTGGAACGAACAACGCCGGTGGGCATGGATGTGGTCGGTAAATTCAAAGAGTAACAGCGATACGTTTCCTGGGATACATTTTGATCGCCGGTATGGTCTACGTACGAGGCAGCCATATCATTATCAATGGACAACGTCGACATCATATCGTTAATCTCTGCGGAATCGCCGCAGTTCGCTACAATCTGTCGCCCATCGTTTTTAGAACCGATCTTGACTCGGATCTCAACCTCGTGTTCTACATCTTCGTCGTTTAACGTTTCCGCATAAATAGCTGGATTGATATATCTGTGAATGCTAGATCGAGAACTTGAAGGAATTTCATCGTAGTGGATCAGGCCGTTGCTTTCGGAGGCTTCTTTTTGACAAACGTCGGACGCGATATTTTTTGAACGATCGCAACTGGTCAGACTTACACCGCTTCTGGTCTTGGCATTGTTTCCGGTGTGCATCTCATTAATATCATCACCTCCCTTCCAGTTGTACCAGCTGTCAGCGTCGCTGTCAACCATCGTCAAGTGTCGTTAACCCCCTGTACAGATTTATTATATGCGATGAAAGTTACAATAGACAAAAGTATGTCGAGATGTCTAAGAACTCCGTCACATATCGTTGGTTTCCGGTGATGTTTTTCGATTAGCCCTTAAGAGTCCCGATGGAACTCGCGCACACATATTCGTCCATGTTCCACGCGATGTTGCACTTTTCGTTTATTACAAACAATAACGAATCCCTGTTAGCGACCAGTTGGATTCCAATCCGATGTGAAATTTTCACAGAACGTGTTCGCGTGTTTCGCGGACGGTGTTACTTTCAATTAAGCGACTTCCGGTGACGCTGGTTGAAATGCGATATATTATTATTAGTAAAATGAGATTTAATGAGGGAAAAATAATGCTAATAATAAATAGCTACGTGCTAAAAAGTATAGA